ATGAGAGGTAGAAAAAAAGCAAACGACAAACGTCAGAGACCAAAGTGCACATAGACATAGAGACAGAGATAAAATGACATTGGCATAAGATTTTGCTGTTGATATGACATGCAAATGAGCAGTCATTGAATGTTTGACCTTTTGAATTGACACGTAGCGCGAAGAAACGCGTTCGCTAAATCCATTTTGTATCATGGAATGTGCATTACATTTTTTTACACTCTTTTCTTTGCACAATTATTATTGTTGAAGCAACAACTGCTATGCTGAATAATTTAGATGTTGTCCATCAAAGTAAATTGTGGTGTACAGAAACGTAAATAAAGCAAACAGTGAAAATCGTCTTATCATGTCAAACCCCAACATCGGTTGACATCAAATACATTCGTGCGTGCACACGAACCCCAAATATTATCGATTGCAAATTATTTGTCAATAAAATACGTTTTATACACGTTTTTATCCATTGATTGATATAGCGTCATAAATAAAGGTCATTTTGCCTGTTTAATGATGTGTCGAATTTGGTGTTTATTGATTTTATTTTATATTTTGCATGCAATGCTTTCTTTGAATTTTCAATTATGCGTCAAATGATTTTGTTGTCATTTCAACTTGCGGCAAATATAGAATTTATGAAAATTAACTTTCCCTCTAGAAGGTTAAGAATAAATAGAATTACAGCAGTATCAGCTGGGTCGAATGCATAATCAAATGTCGTTTAAATCGAATTAAAGGACTAACCGCAACGTCAAAAGTCATCAATTCACAATGTAAAGCATTTGTATATGCCCAACAATGTACTGACGCACACACATTCTCCACTTAAAGCATCATCGTTGTCATAATCATCTGGGGGCATATGACTATTTCGTAGTCATCATGTATATACATATATAATACAAGAGGTGCGTGCACGCAACAATAATACTCTCTTTTACTTCGCTTTTGATGTGTATGTGTGGGATGAGTATTGCTGGATTTTTTGTTATTGTTGTATAAAACGCATTTTCGTGAATATCGAAATCGTTTCATCAAATCGATTGAAAATATGTGTCTTTGTTTCGGTGCTTTGTGAACGATATGCGATGATTTCAAATAAAACGCACTTTAATCCATTATGAGTTCCCCCAAAAAAAAAAAACGATGTGCGTCTCATTTTAATATGAACGCCAATATTTTTTCCGTCAACGATATATTCAACTAGCGCAAAATGTGGTCTCCCGTCATTCATACAAAATGTAGTGCGCAATGTGCGTTTCTTTTTTCTTCATCACTTTTCATTGTTCTATGAAACACTTTGTTGTGTTTGATTTGTGTTTGCTTTGTGTGTGCAAGAGATGTTTAGCATTTTGCGTTGTATCACTTTCTAATCTATTCGAAACCTCGCCCACCGTCTTACCGATTTATTACGGCATTTAATTCTCGAATCAATGCGCATTTCGAAAAACTTAAACGGTCTCGTATTCCAGTCAACTTCGTATGACAATAACACAATTCTAAACAACGGTACATAGTATGCATTAAGTGCCGGAGAGAAAAGTGCGTCATCGAAATGATTGTATTTTTGCGTGTGCATGTGTTTTTTTTTTTCTTCTTCTTCTTCTTTCTTGTGTGGTGTCACGTATTTAATACCACTTACCAAGTCAATTTTCAATTCGATGAACTCGGTGTGTGTGCGTGTATATGATATGTGTAATGTATCAGCGAAAAGTGTTTTCAGCTGCCACACATTTTGAATTTATTACGAAATGCAATGCAAACACTCCTTTCCTGTTGCCAAACTTAGCGGGAAGAAGTAAAATACGGGCACAACATTCCATCTTAAGATTTTTCTTTTTGCGCTGCTATTTAAAATTCCATCATAGAACACATTCACTTAAATCATGTAAACAAAAACACATACAGAGAGAGAGAGAGAGAGACTGTCATACATTAGAGCACACATTTCAACATACACACGACTGATTTGAAATTGGTTGAGCAGTTTTTTTTTTCATAAGTAGAACGTTTCCCTTTGTTGTCATATGTTTAATGTTAAAATAGATTTATTGTCGTATTTTTATTTTTTTGATCATGGGTTAATTATTTTTATTGCGTCTCGCATTCGCACAGCGATAGCTATTTGTACGTCTGTGTGAGATAGACGTATGTGTGTGGCAACATTGACCATTGCCAAAATTATGTTGTTATTGTTTTCATTTTGGATTCTATGTTATTGTTATTGTTATCGTTGTTGTCTCTAACTTTTGCTCTCTTTGTCTTGTTGAGCGTCAACACAGCACGGCAAACCAGTATAAAATACACAATGAGCGTTAAAAGTATTGTACGTATGCACGCGCGTTGTTGATTTAAACATTTCCAACTGGCGGCTTATTAATGAATCACATGTGATATAATTAATATGTTTATGTTGAAGTAAACACGGTTGATTTTCAAATGTGTTTTTTTTTTCAGCCGCCTTCTCCGTGCCTTTTAGTCATGACTCTATTTATTTATTTATTTTTTTCTGTAACTGCTGCTGCTGCGGCTCTCCTTCGTGTATTCGAATTGCTCACGTAAACCCTTTGTTCTCATTGTTTTAATAGCCGTAATTTTACCAGCGAAAAAAAATGAGTGTACAACGAAAACAAAAATAATAATGTTTCAACGGCCATACAACATAACGGGCGCGAGACCAACGATACTTGTGAACCAAAAACTCGAACTTGTTTAAATGCAATTTGTAGTGTTTGCGCTTGTCTTCCTGCTCTTTGCTAAATTCAAATGAACACTGTTTCTGCTCTTTCATTTATTATTATGATTGCAACGATACAAAACGAAATGAATAAACGAAAAACAATGGTTCACCATTCTTTGCCTAGACCATGTTTGCAATTTAATTCAATTCAAACAGAAACAAAAAAAAAATTACGCGAGAAATACCAATGGTTTGAATATGTTCTTTTACATTTCGTTTAACCAACGAATTTATCTTGTCACTGAATCGAATAAGATAATTGTAGTGATTTTGTGTGACTGACCAAATGCAAAAAAAAATTTGTTATTATGTATTGATTTGGAACGAAAATCGCAAATCGACTGCTCGCTTTGAGTGATTTTTTTTTCTTGGTCTTTTCTTTCGAGCAACTTTGCCCGTCGAATGATTTCCTTACAAAAGACGAAACGATCAAACGGAAAATGATTTTTTTTGGAAAGATACATGGTTTTCGTTTCACAATAGGTCAAAACCCGTGACAAAAATCACAGTCAATTCTATTGACCAATCTACCGCCCCTCTTCGGTGAGAATGACTAAAACCGTGGAATTGATTTTTTTTCGTTTGAAATAGAAATGTTATTGCTTGAGACTGACAAGCTATGGAAAATCGATTTTGATTTGCGTCGAAAATCAATCTTTCATCGAAACACTTCTTGTCCGTACATACTTCACAACATTCACATCAAAATTGAGATCGTATGAATGGTTTGCGTTACAAACGCGTATATAACAAGAAAATTACATCGATGATATAATCGAAATCGTCGCCATCGTCGTTGTAGAAAATTTGTCGATTTATGCGCACACTTGGACGTTTAACTTGAAGCCGTATTTCAAGTGCCCGTGCATTAGTTGGCGCAAATTGAAACGAATCGCATTTGTAATGTATATGTAGATTGGTGAATATGTGGAATAAAAAAAGAAATGAACAAGAAAACCGTTTTCTATCTTGCATAAATGGCGTTTGAAATGAAAATCGAAGTTCAAGCATAGACCTCCATTAGAAATTTATGCGTCGATTACGATTACGTTGGTGCGTATGTGACACAAAATAAAATTATACAATAACGTTGATATAAAATTGCATGTAAATTTTCGGCAATAAAACCGACACACACAAAAAAAAACTTTTAATGGTTATTCGCCCGAAAATTATGTCTTAATTACAAAAAAGGCAATGACGCAGTAACAACAAAACAGATTAACCTCGGCTCGATAAATGCGCAACTTATTTTCCAACAATACCGCGCAAACGCCATCGAATCTTTCACCGACAACAAATAAATGGATGAACGGAATAGAGTGCGCACTGAATTCTCTCTTTTTTTTCACGCACCTAATGTTTTTGCGGTAACTTTCAATTTTTATTTCTTTCTTCTGCCATATCGGTTCGTGCACTTCCTGCTTCTATAAATTGTCTAACAAATTTTTCGCACTGAAATCGATTTTCTTAACTTTCACTTAGACTACGGTGCGACCACAACAATGAAAATTTTCATGTGTGAATTGTGTGATGATCATTTGCGACATCGATCACGTGTCATATTTTGAAAGAGAAGAGAAAATTGAAACCAAAAACGGGCAATACCTGAAATTAGGACTTAAAAAATAAAAAAGAGGCAGATGAAACTTACGCAACTAAGCCGCCAAAAAAAGCAACGGGTCCACCGCCGATTAATCGAATTTTTCGATGACACGAATCAAACAGTGACGATCGTGCATGTGCTGGTGGCGATGGATGGGTGTGTATACCCATTATACCACCAGATGTTGGACCATGACCTACAATGTGTGAAGGTGATCGCAACATTTTTTCGTTTCAGATTTTTTTTCTTGCACTTCACTCACAAAAGTAGTAAAATTATTACACAAAACCAAATTTAAAATTAAAAAAAAAAAAATGTGAAAAAGCCGCGCACACGCACGCACGTACACTTTCCTTTCAAAGTTTGGTTGACGGTGATCAGTGTGACGTGCGGCAAATAGTATTTTCTGCACTTTGCAGTTTTTTCGATGGTTTTTTTTTATTTTCGGCTCTTTTCTATTCTGCGGCTACTTTTTTCTTTACGTCGATTTCATTTGATCACATCGACACGGCTAAAATTGAAATAAATTTGTATTTCGTTTCTCGCCTCCTCTTCATTTGTTTTCATTCACATTTAGATGTTTGTATCTATCTTTTTTTTTCTTTCACTGTTTGCAATAATTTTATGCAAAATTAAACTCGTTTTATTTTTTTCGATTCGTCTTAAATTTTTGTTCAATGATTTTTCTGTTCAGTTCATCCTAAATCTGTGCGAAACAAATACGAAATTAGTCAAATGAAAGACAGAAAAATAAAGAATCGACGGAAATAAGCGCGAAGTCGAAAGAAATGATTGGCAAACGGCAGTTCGTTCGTCAATTGCAGGTAATTAAACTGAACAAAGACAACCAACGCAACTTGATTGAGAAAAAAAGGGCGCGCAAAGTTTGTTGCAACGGTGTGACTTTCTTCTTCTATATTTGCCAAACACAAAACATCATTCAATCTTGTGCAATGTGATTTTTTTTTGCTTTTAGTATGTAGTTTTTTTTTGTATATTGTTGAGACTAATTGACACGACAACGAAAAACAAAATTACCTTTTTCGAGTAACAAAATGCCATTTTTGGCCTCTATTTTTGCATAATATGTTTAAAAAAAAAAAAAAAAAAAATCATCTAGTTAAAGGGTTTTCGTAATGTTTCTTGTTGATTTGCGTGCGCGTAATAAAAAAAACGCTGGCGCACATCATCGTGTTTTGTTGCCCACATTGTGTTGCGATGTAGCAACATTATCATGAAAGAAAAAAAAACACGATTTTCATAGATTGAACACATCGCACGTGCAATATATATACAAAAAAGTGTCGATTTCATTCAATTCGGTGACATTTTCCCTTTTCGTCACACACATAACATATTACGTATCTCTCTCTAGCTTCAGTTCTTTATGTCCTCTTCGTGGCTTAAGTCAGAAAATATTGTCATTTGTTTTCTTCAATTTTATAATATCCAATCCATGTATGTGTGTGCTGTTGTTGTTTTGACTCTTGCGTTTATGTTCCACGTTTGTTGCTACGCACATTTAAACAATTCATGTGCAATGACTCTTCGTTGATTTGCTTTCAAAGCGTATACTTTTCACAGCACATTTTGCCAATAATTCACTATTTTTCATGGATTCGCTTAGATTCGTTTGGTTGTTTAGTTTACTGTATCAAACATTTAGATTTTGATGCAATAGAGAAAGAAATCAAGCCATTCCATTCGAACACATACGATGGAAAAACTATTAACTGACTTCGCGATTTCAGGTTCACGACTTTGTCGAAGTTACTTTTGTTTCGTTCGAACATTATGATGTGAAGCGATTTCCATTTGTTTATATTTTATTGGGAGGTTTTCTGTATATGCATCGTATACATATACAATTTTCAATTGTAGCTTAATTTGCGTTTTATGACTGTTGTCATCGTTGTTTTTTTTTTTCGTTGCTTTTTCTTCTTCATCCATTTTCAACCGAATCGGAATCATTATAAACAAAAAAAATGACTTTTGATTGATTTATTATTCCAAGGCACTATTTTCATTCTGTCTCGCTTGTCATTTTCTTCTTCTTTGCGATGACCGACTAAACGATCAACGATGCGAAATGTAATAAACAGCTGATTGTGTGTTTGTCATTATCAAAATTTCATCAATGATGCAATATGTTCATAACTTAACGAAAACAAATCGAATAATGTGCCATTTGTTTTGCTCAATTTTGATATTCGAATCATTATAAAAAAATACATTGATTTTTAACACAGTGTAACTTTGATTCCTTTTCACAATGTAACTTTAAATAATCGGACATTTTATTTAAAATTGAACTTTTCAACGAGTTGAAAAATTCAGTGTGTTTTTTACTACCGACTTTCTAAGCGTAAACAGTGACAATATTGATAAGAGTATATTTTGAAATATTTGTATTTTAAATACACTGCATTCGGAGCAGCTATGAAAAACTTAAATGTAATCAACGAATGCGAAAATGAAATGGAACGAAAGAAGAAACACTCCAATCATCGTGTCAACAATTAGCGATTAGATTAAATTTACAGAAATAGGATGAAATTTCGATCAATGATCAAAATGATTTTTTTTTCGACTCAAAAACAATTGAAGGAAGTCGAAAAGAATATCGACATTGTTTACACAATAAGAATGTCGTTTGATACCCATTATGGAGTTATCGAAAGAAAAAAAACATCAACAACAAAACAAAATATTGCGGCATCGTTCAATACTTTATGCAAATTATGGCACGTCGTTTGCATTTATCGATCGTTGACATTTTGGCATAAAAAGTTTTGACTGTTGTACGTCGAACATACAATTGTAACACACGTTATTATTCGTAATTTTCTAACGGTTGGTGTGAGATTATTATTTTTTGTGTTTTTTCTCTCTGTACTCATATTCTGGGAGGACTTTTTTCTTTCTCTTTTTGTAAATCGTTTAGTGATTGAAAAATGTTCATCACAATTGATTTTAAATCGCGATATTGAATTGGGTTCAGTTAATAGTTCTATATAACAGTAATTTGCTCATTTAATAGTTTCTCAAGAAAAGACGCAATTTAATGACAATATACAGATGTTTATAATGGATACAATTTAGAATTACCAACAACAGAGATTATATGACTTCAATTCAAATGTCATAAATTCTATTTCCGATCCACTCGTCCGATCTTTCGCGCGCGCGTTTGTGTGTGGTTGCTTTTATCTCTCTTTGATAGCATAAACAAATCTCGATTGATTTAAAAACCAAATGCAACGGCAAATCGTGCATCAAAAAATGGCATAGCACAACAATAAGGAGAAGAGAAGAAAAAAATCGTATCCATTTGATGAAATGGCAATTGAAATGACCATGTTTTGCGCAACAAAATAAATATCATTGGCATTTTGAGTTCGATTAATTGAAACAACCGCAATGTATTCACTTGAAGAAATGATCGTAGATCTTGTTTCTCGGTAATACAATTACTACGAAACAAAAAGAAATTATAAGAAAAATACGTCCCGGATACACTGATTTTCGATCCAGCATTTTACATTTAGCAATAAATAGAGCACATTTTGCTCTCGCTAGCTTCGTCAGGATCAATATATTTTAATCACCTCTCTGTAATCTTTACTAAATAAACATCTACCCACACACACACGCCGAGAAAGACGTCAATGCAAATCGGACCAAATGAAGACTAAGGAGAAACTAATTCGATTTTCAAGAAAATATGAAAAGTTTGTAGAAAACTTTGTGTGCACAACATTGCATTGGCTGCTGTAAAATGTTTTAAGCTGTATCTACATTTAAAGCGTGAACGATCTCGTTATTTTCATTAGAATTCAACCATTTTTATCTCATATCTCTCTTTCTGCTTCGCCATCACGCGTTTCTTCTCTTTTCCACAATTAGAAGACCTTTTCTTCGCTATAATTTTGCACATTTTTCATTTCTTTAATATGTTTCATCATTTTTCTGCAAATATTCTCTTTGCTCTTTCACTCATTCTTCTATTCGAATCACTTCCTATGTTCTATGTTGCAACAAACTATCAAATAAAGTGTTGAAACAATTTTTTTTCGTGCAAATCACATATAATCTCTTGCTCTTCGTACGGAACAAATTGAAAGCAATGAGAGAAACAGCGAAAAAAAAACACGCGCTCGCATTCACACTCGCTCATAAGTCAGTGAATCAAATAGAGAAGAAATAGAAAAGAGTTAATTCGTGGAAGAGTAAGAATTGAAATGTGGTGTGTGGCCATTAAAAGAATCACATATACACAAAACTAACGGAAGAATTAACGGATCACTACTTGATACAGACTTTGTGCTTTTCTCTATATCTTACGCTCTGGTTTTTGTTAAGACTTTGTCTTGAAGCCATTGCATATGATCCATGAACGCAATCGCATTTCGCAAATAAAGAAGAAAATGAAAAAAAAAAATGAAATTATAATTTGTTGTGTACGTTGGGAGTGCGTGAAATGTTATTTGCTATGCTCACCGATGAAACCGTATTCAGATCAAAGGCAATAAAAAGCAAATAAAAGTTTAATTATGATAAATTAGCGATAAGAATACACAAAACGACTCAGACGCTAGATTAAATTAATTAAAATACACATACACAACGTAACAACAATCAAGGAAACATTGCCGAACAGAGAGAGAGAGAGAGAGAGAGAGAGAGAGAGAGAGAGAGAGAGAGAGAGAGATCAAAAACAAATATAGCCGCAGAAGTAGGAGGCTGAGAATAACAAAGGAAATTTGAGAAAAAAACACATCGAGCGCATTTTATGACGAATAATTAATTCAAATATGATAGACACCGTTTAAACTTTCGAGCAATCTAAATGAAAGAGAAAGAGGGAGAGAACATAGAGCAACGCATCAGATATATATATAAAATGAGTTGCAGCAACGGTTGCTGCATTGCGTTTTTTCTCTTCTTTTCTACTTTGCTATCTAGTGTTTGCACCTGTAATTTGTTGCACGACAACGCCAACACATTGTATGATCCACACAGTTGATCTGCTGTGCTGTGATTCTCCCATTGCTTCTTTCATTTATTCGTTTCAAACCGCTCTCTTCACTATCTCGATGCATGCAGTGGCAGTGCCGAGCCAAGTGTAGAGAATAAAAACTCCCTCATTTCTACAATTTATGCAATATTGTTATTGTATCATAGTTGCAATGATATTATCTGTGTACATGCGATTTTTCATTGAATACAGAAAGCAAGGGAGATAGAGATAATAAAAAAAATCTGTGATGAAAACATCATTACTTCATCATAATAAAAATGCACGAAAATCCGATTTGAAAAAAATATACATCATTGCGAGATGAAACAACAACAACAACGAAAAAAAACAGAAACACAACGCACAACGATGGCTTTTGTGTTCGCAAAAAAAAAATGTTAGGTACAATGAATGCTTACAGTGAATTTAATATTTGCTTGAGCGGTATGTGTATGTGTATGTCGGATGTTGAGATCCGATGAGATCGACAGATAATGAGACAAACAGAAGGGAAGAGAGACAGGGAAAGTGATGTTATGTTTCTCTTTATTGCTGCTTGAATTAAAACAATTTTGCGATCCTGTTTCTGAAACTTCCCAAATGCGATTTTCACATACAAACATGAACCTTCAACATTTATGGATATCTTACACAAATCACCGCATTGATTGTACGCGAATACAAAG